AGAGACACAGAGAGAGACACACACGAGAGACACAGAGAGAGACACACACGAGAGACACAGAGAGAGACACACACGAGAGACACAGAGAGAGACACACACGAGAGACACAGAGAGAGACACACACGAGAGACACAGAGAGAGACACACACGAGAGACACAGAGAGAGACACACACGAGAGACACAGAGAGAGACACACACGAGACACACAGAGAGAGACACACACGAGACACACAGAGAGAGACACACACGAGACACACAGAGAGAGACACACACGAGACACACAGAGAGAGACACACACGAGACACACAGAGAGAGACACACACGAGACACACACGAGAGAGACACACACGAGACACACAGAGAGACACACAGAGAGACACACACGAGACACACAGAGAGACACACACGAGACACACAGAGAGACACACACGAGACTCACACGAGACACACACACGAGACACACACGAGACACACACGAGACACACACACGAGACACACACGAGACACACCAGAGACACACCGGAGACACACCGGAGACACACCGGAGACACACCGGAGACACACCGGAGACACACCGGAGACACACCGGAGACACACCGGAGACACACCGGAGACACACCGGAGACACACCGGAGACGCACCGGAGACACACCGGAGACGCACCGGAGACACACCGGAGACACACCGGAGACACACCGGAGACACACCGGAGACACACCGGAGACACACCGGAGACACACCGGAGACACACCGGAGACACACCGGAGACACACCGGAGAACACCGAGACACACCGGAGACACACGGAGACACCGGAGACACACCGGAGACACACCGGAGACACACCGGAAGACACACCGGAGACACGCCGGAGACACGCCGGAGACACGCCGGAGACACGCCGGAGACACGCCGAGACACGCCGGAGACACGCCGGAGACACGCCGGAGACACGCCGGAGACACGCCGGAGACACGCCGGAGACACGCCGGAGACACGCCGGAGACACGCCGGAGACACGCCGGAGACACGCCGGAGACACGCCGGAGACACGCCGGAGACACGCCAGAGACACGCCAGAGACACGCCAGAGACACGCCAGAGACACGCCAGAGACACGCCAGAGACACGCCAGAGACACGCCAGAGACACGCCAGAGACACGCCAGAGACACGCCAGAGACACGCCAGAGACACGCCAGAGACACGCCAGAGACACGCAGAGACACGCAGAGACACGCCGAGACACGCAGAGACACGCAGAGACACGCAGAGACACGCAGAGACACGCAGAGACACGCAGAGACACGCAGAGACACGCAGAGACACGCAGAGACACGCAGAGACACGCAGAGACACGCAGAGACACACAGAGGCACACAGAGGCACACAGAGGCACACAGAGACACGCAGAGACACGCAGAGACACGCAGAGACACGCAGAGACACGCAGAGACACGCAGAGACACGCAGAGACACGCAGAGACACGCAGAGACACGCAGAGACACGCAGAGACACGCAGAGACACGCAGAGACACGCAGAGACACCCAGAGACACGCAGAGACACGCGGAGACACGCAGAGACACGCAGAGACACGCAGAGACACGCAGAGACACGCA